CTGGAGTGCAGTACCATGATCTCGGCTCACTGCAACCTCTGCCTCCTGGGTTCAAGCGATTCTCCTGCCTCAGCCTCCTGAGTAGCTGGGATTACAGGCGCCTGCCACCACACCCAGCTAATTTTTATATTTTTAGTAGAGACAAGGTTTCACCATGTTGGCCAGGCTGGTCTCCAACTCCTGATCTCAAGCAATCCACCAGCCTCAGCCTCCTGGAGTGCTGGGATTATAGGCATGAGCTACTGTGCCTGGCCAGACTTGAATTTTTTGAAAGTAACAATTGCTAGCTGGTTTCTGATGTCAAAGATTGAAAACCATAACTTTTTAAAAGGCTTGCAGCCATAAAAAAAGAATGAGTTCATTTCTTTTGCAGGGACATAGATGAAGCTGGAAACCATCATTTTCAACAAACTAACACAGGAACAGAAAACCAAACACCTCATATGCGCACTCATAAGTTGGAATTGAACAATGAGAACACATGGTGGCAGGGAGGGGACCATCACACACTGGGGCCTGTTGAGGGGTGGGGGACAAGGGGAGGGAGAGCATTGGGACAAATACCTAATGCACGCAGGGCTTAAAACCTAGATGATGGGTTGACAGGTGCAGCAAACCACCATGACATATGTATACTTATGTAAAAAACCTGCACATTCTGCACATGTATCCGAGAACTTAAATTTAAAAAGTAATAATTTTTTAAATGTTTAAAGCTTACTTTGGGGAGACAGTTCTACATAGCTTAGTATTTTGTCATTAAAGGCATGGTGGAGCTGGTTCCTGCTTCCGATACCCTCAGGAAAATCCAAGTGGAATATGGTGTGACAGGATCCTTTAAAGATAAACCACTTGCAGAGTGGCTAAGAAAATACAATCCCTCTGAAGAAGAATATGAAAAGGTAATTAGCAGGTCTCCTCATTCTAAAAAACTTTGTCAAAAATGTTATTACAAAGGTTTTAAGTGCTTTCATTTTCCAACTAAATAGTCATTTAGTCTAAGTCAGGAAAAGAGCATCTTTTTCTACATATAAGAAGGAATGTAAAACAGAATGCATTTAATGGCAGGAATCTGAGTGAAACCGATGCTAACTTGCCCAAAAAAATGCATTCCAAACACATACTTAGAGGCCAGCGAAACAGAGGCATTTTTCTAACCCAAAATGTTATATTTCCCAAAGACCTTGGAAGAAGTTAGGGAGATGAGTAAAATAGGCTGTATCGTGTGATAGTTAAGAACATAAATTAGGGGCCAAACTCTTTGGGCCTGAATTTAGGTCCCAAGTCACTTAGCAGCAACAGGGCCTTCTGCAAATTGTTTAACATCTGTGTGCCTCAGTGACCTCTGCTATAAAATACTGTATATGTTATGGTATAGCACATACTGTGGCTATAAACATATGCATCATTAAGATTTTTGTGAAAATTAAATGAGTTAATATATATAAAGCACTGCATAGTGAAAATTGTATAATTGTTAGCTCTTTTTCTTATTGGAAACATCAATTTTCTGTTTTACTATTATTTTGAATTACATGTGAGGACAAGGCTATCTCTGAGGACATAAGGCCTCTAATGATGTTAACATGGCCTAAGGAAAACCCAAGAACACTGAGTGGTGATAGAAGAAAACTCCCATTTTAATGTCATAGAGCTGCCTGGTTTATGTTTCATTAATGGATCACCTTTATGGATATACATGTGTCATCTGTTGACCTACAAAGCTAATGCAGGGGAATTTTGACCTTTGATCTTTTGAACTGTGAGATCACTCCCTTTTCTTACTTCTTTGTGATCTGGGGAAGCAGTGCAGCAGAAGCCAATACTTGTTTTAGTAATGTTGGCCATTTTGTGATTATTGGTAAGGAAATAATTGCCAGTAGCGTATATTAAGCACCTTTTATGCATTTGGCTTTTTAATGCATTTAATAGGTAAGAAGGAATATAACTTAGTGAAGTCATATTGCCTGGATTTGAATCCTCATTCTGCCACTTAACAATTATGTGATCTTGGGTAAACAACCTCTGTTTCAGTTTTCCATCTGTACAGTGGTTATGATGTTCATACCTAAGTCATTGATTTGTTGTGAGTTTCTAAATACATAATTTAGTAGAGACGAGGTTTCACCATGTTGGCCAGGCTGGTCTCAAACTCCTGACCTCAAGCAATCCACCTGCCTTGGCCTCCCAGAGTGCTGGGATTATAGGCGTGAGCCACTGCGCCTGGCCAGACTTGAATTTTTTTGAAAGTAACAATTGCTAGCTGGTTTCTTATGTCAAAGGTTGAAAACTATAACTTTTTAAAAGGCTTGCAGCCATAAAAAAGAATGAGTTCATTACACACACACACACACACAGAGATAGAGAGAGAGAGAGAGAGAGAGAGAGAGAGAGAGAGAAGTGCCTGATTTGTGCTAAATGCTGTATAAACACTTGCTATTATTATCATTGGTAATGATTTCTGGGGAATTATGGAATAGAATTAACTACATGGGCAAGTCAGGCCAAATGAATGTACCACTCAGAAATATAGTCTTTTATAGAAATAAACTAATACACATGTTTTAAAGAAAAACCTCATTGTATGCATCTTGGTGTATCCTTCTATATAATATTATATTAGTAATTTTAATAATCCCCAGGAGAGGCAGGATTTAAGATGGCACACAGGGAATCACCAAATGGGAAACAAAATACATTACTTGTATTCTTGGATGTTTTCAGATATAAGCTGATTTTCCTTACACATGTCCTCACTACAGGTAGAAAGGAAAAAAAGCAAAAATCTTCTACCATCATATTTGCGGAATCCTGCACCTCACCAGCTCTAAGCAGGAGGGTCACTGAGGTGCAGGATTCCACAAACATGATGCTTAAAAGCTGTTCAAAGGCCGGGCACAGTGGCTCAAGCCTGTAATCCCAGCACTTTGGGAGGCCGAGGCGGGTGGATCACGAGGTCAAGAGATCGAGACCATCCTGGTCAACATGGTGAAACCCCGTCTCTACTAAAAATACAAAAAATTAGCTGGGCATGGTGGCGCGTGCCTGTAATCCCAGCTACTCAGGAGGCTGAGACAGGAGAATTGCCTGAACCCAGGAGGCGGAGGTTGCGGTGAGCCGAGATCGCGCCATTGCACTCTAGCCTGGGTAACATGAGTGAAACTCCCTCTAAAAAAAAAAAAAAAAGCTGTTCAAAGGCAGCACATACCTAAATATGGACTGGTAGGGACCCCAGACTTGTAAAAGAGAAAAGTTAGAGAAGGGGCAGTAACCACCTTTGGAAGAGTGTTTTTGTTTTTGAAATATGAAAAGATCGGCTTTTATTACTATATCCCAGTTTGTATGCTATTGAGAGAGTGAATTGCAGTAGTGTTTTTAAAGAGTGATAGACTACTTTAATCTTTATAAACCCTGCCTCCTTTAAAAATAATTCATTTTCTAAAATAACTGTATATGTTTTTTATAGGCTTCAGAGAACTTTATCTATTCCTGTGCTGGATGCTGTGTAGCCACCTATGTTTTAGGCATCTGTGATCGACACAATGACAATATAATGCTTCGAAGCACAGGACATATGTTTCACATTGACTTTGGAAAGTTTTTGGGACATGCACAGATGTTTGGCAGCTTCAAAAGGTATAATATTGTTGTTATTGCTGTTGCCAAAGAAAAGAGGCACTTTTTGTTGTAAAAGTTAAGGTTTGTCCCAAACCTTGCCTTTTGCCTTTCTGTGTTTTTTCATGTGGCTCCATTTGAGCATAACTTGGGATGAAAAAGGCCCAAAGGTATGACCGTACCACATAGTAGACAAGAATGTGTGTGTGTATAAACTTTGTTGAAATGAATTAGGATACATATAAATTTTTTCATCTAGTTAGCAGTAACTCTTAGAAATGATTTCATATGTATAATGGCAGTAAGTAGTTTTCTATGTTTGTAACTACTGTTTGATCTCTCTTTAGATATATGGATTTATAAATACCACCTTATTTTCATATATAAGGAAATTTCATATATAAGTTCCCTCTAAATAATGAGATTATTATGTGATAGCTTTCTTGAAAAATGTTATTTTAAAGAATTATGGAAATTCAAAAGTGTGTGGTATTAAATTTCCTAGTTGGAAATTGCTGTACCTCAGATAGTTTAATAATCATGCAATAGCACTACTGGAATATATTCTGTAAATAATATTTTGTATGTACTTTCATTTTAAATAGGGATCGGGCTCCTTTTGTGCTGACCTCTGATATGGCATATGTCATTAATGGGGGTGAAAAGCCCACCATTCGTTTTCAGTTGTTTGTGGACCTCTGCTGTCAGGCCTACAACTTGATAAGAAAGCAGACAAATCTTTTTCTTAACCTCCTTTCACTGGTAACTATTCTTCATAAGCATTTAAATAGTTTTTATATTAATGCATCTATGTTTCCATACCTAAAAAAGATTATTTTGTGATTTTGGAATAAGATTTGATGTAGTCACAAATGTCAGATACATTATTGCTCAAATATTTTAAACTTACTGCTGTGTGAAATGAGCCAAACACAAGAGTACCTACTGTCTGACTTCATTTGTATAAAATACAAAAAACAAGTTAGTAGAGTGGCTACCCTTGGGTTGGGAAGAATTAGTAACTGGACCTTGAGGTGGGCATCTGAGATGCTAATGAATGTTTTGTGTATTAATGTGGGTGCGAATTGTGAACATTCACTCAGCTGTACGATGATTTCTGTACTTTAGTGGATATTTATTATAGTTAAGCAAAAAGAAAACAAACCCACTATGATTATTATGAATAAATTGATATGGTAATAAACAGAAGGCTAAAATGATCTTAAGTGAAATAACTCAGTTAAATATTCAGTGTTCTCACTTATAAGTGGGAGCTAAATAATATGTACACATGGACATAAAGAGTAGAATAATAGACCTTGGAGACTTGGAAGGGTAGGAAGGGGGTTGGGGGAGATGAGAAGTTATTTTAGTGGGTGCAATGTATACTATTCATGTGATACACTAAAAGCCCAGACTTTACCACTATGCGATACATACCTGTACCAAAATTGTACTTGTACCCCCTAAATCTATAAAAGTGAAAACAGAGGCTGAGGCCAGGTGCGGTGGCTCACGCCAGTTATCCCAGCACTTTAGGAGGCTGAGGCAGGCGGACTGCTTGAGATCAAGAGTTCAAGACCAATCTGGCCAACATGGTGAAACCCCATCTCTATCAAAAATACCAAAAAAAAGGCTGGGCGTGGTGGCTCACGCCTGTAATCCTAGCACTTTGGGAAGCTGAGGCGAATGGGTAATGAAGTCAGGAGTTCAAGACCAGCCTGGCCAACATGGTGAAACCCCCATCTCTACTAAAAATACAAAAAATTTAACCAGGCGTGGTGGCACGCACCTGTAATCCCAGCTACTCAGGAGGCTGAGGCAGGAGAATTGCTTGAACCCAGCAGGCAGAGGATCCAGTGAGCCAAGATTGCACCACTGCACTCCAGCCTGGGCGACAAAAAAAAAGGGCCTAGAAAAAAGGAGGTCTGGCTCTCATGTTAAACTGGGTTTGTAACCTCCAACAAATTGCTTGACTTCCTTGCCCTCCATTTCCTTATTTGTAAGATAATCACTTAAGTCCCCAATATACTAATGAGCCCCTCAAAACTGATTGTTTTTGTTTGCTTTAGTTCTGATTACTTGCCTGCAGGAAGGAGTGGGGAACAAATTTTTTGAAAAATTTAACTCACAGAACTTTTTGTTTTCTTCACAGATGATTCCTTCAGGGTTACCAGAACTTACAAGTGTTCAAGATTTGAAATATGTTAGAGATGCACTTCAACCCCAAACTACAGATGCAGAAGCTACAATTTTCTTTACTAGGTAAGGCATATTTAAGTATACTGCAGAAGGAACATACAAATTTGCTTTGATTTGTTTTACCTCAGTTTAAACAAATACAGTGCTATTAATCAAAATTCTGATTTATAGGAACAAATTCTGACAGTATTTGCACATAGTAGGCTGTCAAAAATTTATTGAATAAATACAAAGGATTTGCAATAATATTTTTTAAAATATATTTATTTGTCTCAAAATTTCTCATGGTTTATTTAATATGTAATTTCAATGATAAAAACATATTTTTCCACAGTGCCATGTACCATTTTAAAGTGTTTTTAAATTTTTTATTTTGAGAGTGAGTCTTGCTCTTTTCTCCAGGCTAGAGTGCAGTAGCACAATCTCGGCTCCCTGCAACCTCGGCCTCCTGGGTTCACGTAATTCTCCTGCCTCAGCCTCCTGAGTAGCTGGTACTACAGGCATTCACCACTAAGCTCAGCTAATTACAATCTCTATCTAAAATGATATCTGTACTAATCTATTTTTCAGAATTTTGTTATAACAATTTCCATGAAGACCTTAGGTGTTCTTAATACAGCAAACTCTGGGTCACTGCTGCAAGTAAACTATTAATATGGCATAGTACTTGAAACACATATGCCAATTACTGGTACTTGAATTTGTTATTGCTTTAAAAACAGATCTTCCGGCTGGGCATGGTGGCTCATGCCTATAATCCCAGCACTTTGGGAGGCTTAGGTGGGCAGATCACCTGAGGTTGGGAGCTCAAAACTAGCCTGACCAACGTGGAGAAACCCCGTCTCTACTAAAAATACAAAATTAGCCGGGCCTGGTGGCACATCCCTGTAATTCCAGCTACTCAGGAGGCTGAGGCAGGAGAATCGCTTGAATCCAGGAGGCAGAAGTTGCGGTGAGCCAAGATCATGACACTGCACTCCAGCCTGGGCAACAAGAGAGAGTTTTCTGTCTCAAAAAAAACAACAGGGCCGGGCACGGTGGCTCAAGCCTGTAATCCCAGCACTTTGGGAGGCCGAGGCGGGTGGATCACGAGGTCAAGAGATCGAGACCATCCTGGTCAACATGGTGAAACCCTGTCTCTACTAAAAATACAAAAAATGAGCTGGGCATGGTGGCGCATGCCTGTAATCCCAGCGACTCAGGAGGCTGGGGCAGGAGAATTGCTTGAACCCGGGAGGCGGAGGTTGCGGTGAGCCGAGATCGCGCCATTGCACTCCAGCCTGGGTAACAAGAGTGAAACTCCGTCTCGAAAAAAAAAAAAAAAAAAAAAAAAACAGGTCTTCCTGACAAATATGTTCTAAAGGTCTGGTGATCAGTTTGGTTACTGACTACTACTGCTACATCATCATCATACCATAGCAGGGAGGGGTACCTGAGCTCATGTTCTTTTCTCTCCTTTTTCTCTTGCCTTCTTCCTCTCAGTGGAGAAGAGGTATAAAAAAACACTGACTGGACTTTCCTAGTCTCAAGAGTCTGGGCTGAAAATGCATGGAAGGAAGCTGACTTTTATAGCCTTTCAAACTAATCCTGACAATTTAGGTATTGATGGGTTTTCTTTTCTTTGTTTTTTAAAAGAGATTCATTGGCTCCCCTGGGCAAAACTACAAAGCAGGCATGTATTTGTCTACCTGCTTAGACTTCCATAACAAAATACTATAGACTGGTGGCTTAAACAACAGATAGTTATTTTCTCACAGTTCTGGAGGCTAGGAGGTCCAAAATCAGGGTGCCAGCCAATTACATTATTGGTGAGGGCTCTCTTGCTAGATTGCAGATGGCCACGTTTGCAATGTGTCCTTACATGGTGGGGAGAGCTGGCTGTCTCATCTCTTCTTAGAAGGACACTCCTATTGGATTAGGGCTCTACTGTTTATGACCTCATTTAACCTAAATTACTTCCATGAAGGCCCTATCTCCAAATATAGGCGCTGTGTTGGTTGGGGCTTCAATATATGAATTTCAGGGAACACAGACATTCAGTCCATAGTGAGGCAAAAGCCTGTGTTTGAGATTCTCTCATTTCTGTTTTAGAATTTCCTTCTTTTTTGCTTCCTTGTTTCTGAGACTTTTTGTTTCCTTTGCTTGCCTAAAATGTTCTATCCAGGCCTACCTTCCAAACTCGCCAACCTGTCAAAACTTCTTTTCCCAACTGAATGAAAATATGATTACCTGAAGGAGTCTGACACTGAATTCTACAATTCTACTGTTTGATAGAAGAGAATTTTTTAAATTTGGATTACTTAGTTTTTATTCTTTTGTTTTTGTGATTTTTTTGGAGACAGTCTTGCTTCATCACCAAGGCTGGAGTGCAGTGGCACAATCTCAGCTCACTGCAACCTCTGCCTCCTGGATTCAAGCAATTCTCCTGCCTCAGCCTCTGGAGTAGCTGGGATTATAGGCACGCATCACCATACCTGGCTAATTTTTCTATTTTTAGTAGAGTCCTGTTGGCCAGGCTGTTCTCGAACTCCTGGCATCATGTGATCTGCCCACCTTGGCATCCCAAAGTGCTGGGATTTATAGACGTGAGCCACCATGCCCGGCCCTTAGATTACTTTCTCCTTTATTAAGAGGGAATAAATTCCTGAAGTCATCTTTTTACCATTATACCAATCATCATCTATCTGAAATATACTCTTTAATTAGTCTTGGAGACCTTACAGGGTTCAAGAAAACCAAGCATAATTTCTTTCTTGGGCTAAATGATTTTGTTGGGGTGAGATGTATCTTAACAAATCTTTGGCCTATAGAACAAAGGGAATCCTTGGCAAAGTGACAACCTGGTAATATTTTTAAAGGAATGAAAGTGGTTTTTGTCATTTATTACATTGAAAGAATTTACCATGTGTTCTCATTTACTGTTAACGAATTTTCTGATTACTTTGTAGGCTTATTGAATCAAGTTTGGGAAGCATTGCCACGAAGTTTAACTTCTTCATTCACAACCTTGCTCAGCTTCGTTTTTCTGGTATTCCTTCTAATGATGAGCCCATCCTTTCATTTTCACCTAAAACATACTCCTTTAGACAAGATGGTCGAATCAAGGAAGTCTCTGTTTTCACATATCATAAGAAATACAACCCAGATAAACATTATGTAAGTTTGATTTCAATATCTGTAAACAATCATGCATGTATAATTGTTGTCCTTCCTACTTCCTTTGCTGATTCTGCTAAAGTTCCAAGCATTTATTCTATTCATGCTTGTTTCTTTCATGAATGGTCCATAAATAAGTAAATGTACTTAAAGCATCCCTAAATTTTTTTGGTATTTAATTCTTGCTGTATTTGCTTCAAACAATAAGGACCAAATGATATTTTTTTAGAGACAAGACTAAAAGGATGGTGCTATTCTGATTTTTCTCATTCTTCAATTTTTTTATTTTTATGTATTTGGTTTTTTGTTCATTCTTCAGTTTTTTTACTTAAAGGTAAAGTGTGTTTGTTGTAACAAATTCAATTAATATAGACATATATAAAGTAAAAAGTCAAAGTTTCTATTCCAATCTGTGATACAAAACACACACATACTGTCTTTGAACAGATACAGGATCTTCACCGTGGTTTTTCCCCTTCGAAACTATAACATTCTTTTTTGTTGTTACTTTTCACCCTCGTGCTAACTTTTTTGTGGGATAATACTTTGCAGAACTGCCAGTTTTTAAATTTTTGGGAAAATGATAGACTTTAAAAAGCTATTTCACTATTGTTTTAATTTTCATCTATTTTGTTAATAAATTTTAGTAGTATTTTGTGTGTTTATTAAGTTATCCTAACACCATTTTATTGCCTAGTCTATTCTCTCCCCAATATACTACTACCTTTAAATTTATATATAGATCCCCAAATTCGTTTCTGGCCTTCTACAGATAGAGCTGACTTGGCACCAGTATTATATTCTGTAAAGTATTGTAACTTTATAAAAGTTTAAATATGTTGGGCAGGATGGCTCACGCCTGTAATCCCAGCACTTTGGGAGCCCGAGGCAGGTGATCACCTGAGGTCAGGTGTTCAAGACCAGCCTGGCCAACATGATGAAATCTTGTCTCTACTAAAAATACGAAAATTAGCTGGGTGTGGTGGCATGTGGTTGTAGTCCCAGCTACTTTTGGGAGGCAGAGGTTGCAGTGAGTTGATAGTGTGCCATTGTACTCCAGCCTGGGCAACAGAGTGAGACTCTGTCTCAAAAAAAAAATTTTTTAATTAGCCAGCAAAACAAGTTTTCCTTCACCCTCACAAACCTTTTGCCTTTTTTTCAACTGACTACTTATTTATTTTAGAGATGAGGTTTCACCATGTTGACCAGGCTGGTCTCAAACTCCTGACCTCAGGTGATCAACCCTCCTCAGCCTCCCAAAGTGCTGGGATTACAGGCGTGGGCCACAGCGCCCAGCTGTATTTTTATTTCATTTTATTTTGAGGCAGAGCCTCACTCTGTCATGCAGGCTGGAGTGCAATGGCACGATCTTGGCTCCTGCAACCTGTGCCTCCCAGGTTCAAACAATTCTCATGCCTCAGCTCCTGAGTAGCTGGGATGACAGGTACCCACCAGCATGCCCGTCTAATTTTTGTATTCTTAATAGAGATGGCGTTTTGCCATGTTGCCCAGGCTGGTCTCAAATTCCCGGCCTCAAGTGATCCGCTCACCTCGGCCTCCCAATACAGGCACTGAGCCACCATGCCTGGCCTATTTTTATGTTTACTTTTTGAGACACAGTCTTACTCTGTTACCCCAAATGGAGTACAGTGAGGCAATCTTGGCTTACTGTAGCCTTGACACCTGGGCTGAATTGATCCTCCCACCTCATCTTCCCGAGTCACTGGGGCTGCAGGTGTGTCCCGCCACACTTGGCTAATTTTTGTATTTTTTGTAGAAACAGAACCTCACTATGTGCACAGGCTGGCCTCTTCTCCGGGGCTGAAGCCTTGGCCCCTCAAAGTGCTAGGATTATAGGCTTGAGTAACCGTGGCCAGCTTATACTTTTAAGTTCTAGTTTATATATCTTAGGGTGGTTATAATAACTCTTAAAAATGTAGTTACATGTGCTATAAATACAATGACTTATATTTGCTTTTTCCTATTGATGACATATATATTACCAAGATAAAAGTACTTGAACTATATATAACAAGCTATACATTTCTGTCAGAAAAGGAGATTTTATTTCTCTGTTGGCTAAGATCAGTATAGGAAAGAAGGTTCTGTGTTTTGTTTGTTTGTTTGTTTTGAGACGGAGTCTCACTCTGTTGCCCAGGCTAGGGTACAGTGGTACCATCTTTGCTCACTGCAACCTCCATTTCCCGGGTTGAAGTGATTCTTCTGCCCCAGCCTCCCGAGTAGCTGGGATTACAGGCACGCAACACCATGACCAGCTAATTTTTATATTTTTAATAGAGATAGGGTTTCACCATGTTCGCCAGGCTAGTTTCAAACTCCTGACAGGTGATCCACCTACCTCGGCCACCCAAAGTGCTGGGATTAAAGGCATGAGCCACCACACCCGGCCTGGAGATAAGGTTTTAAACATAAATTTTATGTGTTTGTGGTGTGATTTCTTTTCAGATTTATGTAGTCCGAATTTTGAGGGAAGGACAGATTGAACCATCATTCGTCTTCCGAACATTTGATGAATTTCAGGAACTGCACAATAAGCTCAGTATTATTTTTCCGCTTTGGAAGTTACCAGGGTATGTATCCATCCTTGTACATTAATCCTTTTTGTAGGCAACAAGTTGTTATCAAATGTAGGTGAAAAGCTTTGTGTTAACACTGTGGGCCATGTGTGGCTTATTTTCCTTTGTATCACAAGGACCTAATACAAAAGTAGACATAAACAAGGAACTGTAAGTTTTTGTTGAATGAATACATGATCAGGATATTAAAATATGAGATTTTCTAGACTTCTTTTATTGAGGCTTTAACTTTGCTGTCTCTACCATAATAAGCAACACAAGATAGTAATTTGGAATCTTGGTTTTGAAAAAAGTCATATGCGGCTGGGCATGGTGGCTCAGATGCTCATAATCCCAGCACTTTGGGAGGCCGAGGTAGGGAGATAGCTTGAGTCCAGGAGTTTGAGCCTAGCCTGGTTACCATGGCGAAACCCCATCTATAAAAACAAAAATTAGCTGGGTGTGGTAGCAGATGTCTGTAATCCCAGCTGCTCAGGAGCTGAAGTGAGAGGACTGATTGATACCACAAGGTGGAGGTTGCAGGGAGCCAAGATCACATCACTGCACTACAGCCTGGGCAACAAAGTGAGATCCTGTCTCAAAAAAAAATCAATGCAGAAATAATCTATCATGGGACATACTGAGCTCCTCTGATAAAAAACTGAAGCAAATACCATCAAGACTGTCTATCAAAATCTTAGTTTTGTATCTGATACCCTTTGGGAGTCCTCAGTTTTAATGTAGCCCAATGACCAGTAGATTTCTGTGTTGAGTTGTTCATATTTTCTTCCGATTAGATTTCAAAAGTAAGGAGGAAGTGAAGTGGGTATTCGAGTTTGTTTCCAGGTACAGTTTCATTTTTCCACTGCTACCAAAATAAGTGCAATTAAGATTATCCTTTCAGCACTTTACTTAGGCCTTATGTTATTATTTGTAGATTTTACTGTGTATATAATAGCTGTGGCTGATTGAGTAGTGATTTTTTTTTTTTTTTTAGGGATCAGATCTGGATAAAATATTTATAAGTGATTAAACTTGAGAAGAAATAGTAGAAAATAAGTATTAGGTAGGTGCAAAAGTAATTGTGGTTTCTACCATTACTTTTAATGTCAAAAACCACAGTTCCTTTTGAATCAACGTAATAATAAATATAAGAAATCAACCCATACACCTTTTCTACCAAGCTCATAAAAGAATAATGGGTAATTGAACTATGTTGTCTCCAGTACTTTGAAATCACAAAAATTTATTTATTTTATTTTGAGACACCCAGGCTGTCACCCAAGCTGGAGTGCAAGTGACTCAGCCAGGTTCAAGTGATTCTTTTGCCTCAGCCTCCCGAGTAGTGGGATTATAGTCACCTCCCAGCACGCTCGGCTAATTTTTGTATTTTTACTATAGACAGGGTTTCACCGTATTGGCCAGCCTGGTCTCGAACTCCTGACCTCAAATGATCCACCTGTCTTGGCCTCCCAAAGTTCTGGGATTATAGGAATGAGCCACTGTGCCCGGCCACAAAATATTACTTCATAATGGATTAAGACTTTACTCTGTCTTTAAGTATATATTTAAAAAGTTTATTTCTAAGGAAATACTGTACTTATTTAAATCCCACTTGTTTTTATTTTTCTTTTGTAGCTTTCCTAATAGGATGGTTCTAGGAAGAACACACATAAAAGATGTAGCCGCCAAAAGGAAAATTGAGTTAAACAGTTATTTACAGAGTTTGATGAATGCTTCAACGGATGTAGCAGAGGTGAACTTACTAAATAAGAAGTAATAACATCCTTTATCATTTGTGTTATATAATATTTAAATTAATGAATTGTTTTCTCTTTAATCTTAGTGTGATCTTGTTTGTACTTTCTTCCACCCTTTACTTCGTGATGAGAAAGCTGAAGGAATAGCTAGGTCTGCAGGTGAGATTATTTTTTTTCTCTTTATTGGTAACTCATGATCTGTAAGTCCATAACTTCTCAGTGAGTATGGTAGAATGATAGTGGGCTTACTAGCTGTAGTCTGAGAATGAGAGGAGAGTATTCTTTCTAAGCCAGTCTATTTCTGAATAAATATAACTTTCCTAATAGATATGATTACTAAAGGAGTATAAATCAATGACCTAACCACGTTGTTTACTTCTTTTTTCCCCTCCCTTCTGTCTGCACCACATGTGATGGTCTTGAAAATAAAGCAAAATCCTTTGATTTGCTTGAACCACTACAACCAAGATAAAATAAAGATGAAACTATTTGTGTTTTCAGATGCAGGTCCCTTCAGTCCTACTCCAGGCCAAATAGGAGGAGCTGTGAAATTATCCATCTCTTACCGAAATGGTACTCTTTTCATCATGGTGATGCACATCAAAGATCTTGTGAGTGATTACAAAGAATGATGGCTGTAGAGGAAACCCTTACCTTGGCAGGAAGCATTGCTGTTAAGGGACTGCTTTTCTTTTTAGGTTACTGAAGATGGGACTGACCCAAATCCATATGTCAAAACATACCTACTTCCAGATACCCACAAAACATCCAAACGCAAAACCAAAATTTCACGAAAAACGAGGAATCCGACATTCAATGAAATGGTAAGTTAAAATCATTTCTAAAAGTTTCCTTGGTTTGTTGAGTTTTTTTTTAATTTTCATTTTTAAGTTCTGAGGTACATGTGCAGGATGTGCAGGTTTGTTACATAGCTAAATATGCCATCACGGTTTGCACACTTATAAACCCATCACCTAGGTATTAAGCCCAGCATGTATTAGCTATTTTTCCTAATGCTATCCCTCCCCTATCCCATCCCCCAGCAGGCTCCAGTGTGTGTTCCCCCCGCTCCCCGTGTCCATTGTTTTGAGATTTTTTTTTTCTTTTTTTTTTTGAGATTTTAAAACATTTTAAGGCCAGACGAAATGGCTCATGCCTGTAATCTGAGCAGTTTTGGAGGCCAAGGTAGGTAGATCACTTGAGCTCAGGAATTTGAGACCAGCCTGGGCAACATGGTGAAATTCCATCTCTATAAAAAAAAAAAAATTAGTTAGGCATGGTGGCACGCACCTATAGTCCTAGGTGGCAGGAGGATTGCTTGAGCCCAGGAGGTCAAGGCCACAGTGAGCCATGATCATGCCACTGCACTCCAGACTGGGCAACAGAGTGAGACCCTGTTTTGAAAAAAAAATAATAATAAATTTTTAGGTATCAGTTGCTGAACTATTTGTTATACAATGTACACCAATAGCAGTCCAATAGTATTTAACAAAAGGATATAGAATACAGCCCTCATAGACCTTAGGAGCCATAATTCATCTACTTTGCCAGTGTGTGAACCCCCCTCTATAACAGTCACAAAAAGTGGTTGTCTAGTCTGTGCTCAATTACTTCCAGGCTATTTGGTTTGTCTCAGATAGCTCCACTTCTTAGATTATTTTTTATACAAAGCTAAAAGTTTGATTTTCCGAGGCCATCTGTGGGGTCTGAGTTATACCTGTTGGGGCCATACAGAACTACTCTTCTTCCTTCTATGAGGCAGCGCTTTCAGATAATTGAAGTTCAGATGTCCTTCCCATTCTTTTAAAACATCTAGTACTTTTACCTTAATTAATTTGATAGGATATAGTTTCAAAACCATTCTCCTTCAGATGTTTTCCTCTTTTTTTCTTTCTTTTTGGAGGGGATGGAGTCTCGCTCTATTGCCTAGCCTGGAGTGCATTGGTACAATTTCAACTCACTGCAACCTCTGCCTCCTAGGTTCAAATAATTCTTGTGCCTCTGCCTCCCAAGTAGCTGGGACTGGAGGTGAACGCCACCACCTCTGGCTTATTTTTGTATTTTTAGTAGAGTTGGGGTTTCACCATCTTGGCCAGGCTGGTCTCAGAACTCCTGACTTCAGGTGATCCACCTCCCTCAGCCTCCCAAAGTGCTGGGATTACACATGTGAGCCACCACACCCAGGCTGTTTTCTTCTATTAGTAACCCTCTTAGAGTACTCAAAATTGAAAGCAGGCCAGGTACAGTGGCTCATGTTTGTACTCTCAACACTTTGGGAGGCCAAGGCAGGAGGACTGGTTGAACCCAAGAGTATTAGACCAGCCAGGGTAACATAGTGAGATGCTGTCACTACAGAATGTAACAAATTAGCCCAGCATAGTGGCATGCACCTGTTGTCGCAGCTATTTGGGAGACCGAGGTGGGAGGATCACTTGAGCCCCAGAGGTTGAGGCTTCAGTGAGCTGTGATTGTGCCACTGCACTGTAACCTAGGGGCAACAGAGCCAGACTCTGTCTCAAAAAAAAAAAAAAAGAAAGAAAGAAAGAAAAGAAAGCAGGGCCACAGGTGGTGGCTTGTATCTCTAATCTCAGGACTTTGGAAAGCTGAGGCAGGAAGATTGCTTGAGATTAGGCTGGCCAACATATTGAGACCCTGTTCTACAAACAATTAAAAAATTAACCAGGCATGATGGTATGCACCTGTAGTCCTAGCTACTCAGGAGGCTGAGGCTGGAGGATAGCTTAAGCCCTTGAGTTTGAGGTTACAGTAAACCATGATTGTGCCACTGCACTCTAGCCTGGGCAACAGTGTCTTTTTAAAGAGACACTGCCTCTTAAAAAACAAAAATCAAAGCAGTAAGCAAAATATCAACTGAATTGCATAGAGTATAACTGTGACTTTGCTGAGAGTGACTCACAGTCAACTTATAAACTTAGTACCTATTAAAACATGCTAAAGTTCCCCCCCTACTTCTCTTATTAAACTGCTTCTTTAGGATAAACACATCTTTTGCATATCCACACGATGTCTGATTAGAGATTGGAAGCAGATAATTCTGATTTCTCATTAAGGTTATAAATTTATTAAAACCTACAGAAAATCCTTTGACCTCTTTTTCCTTTCTTTTTTTTGACAGATTCTCACTCTGTCACCCAGGTCAAGTACAGTGGTGTAATCTTGGCTCACTGCACCTCTGCCTCCCAGTTCAAGTGATTCTCATGCCTCAGCCTCCTGCGTAGCTGGGACTACAGGCATGTGCTACCATGCCCAACTGATTTTTGTGTTTGTAATAAAGATGATGTTTTACCTTGTTGCCCAGGTTGGTCTCAAACTCCTGACCTTAGGTGATCCACGTGCCTTGGCCTCTCACAGTGTTGGGATTACAGGAGTGAACCACAGTGTCTGGCCAATCGTTTGACTTCTTTAAAAGCACAACATGCTTGATAAAGACCAATTGGTTTTTTTTTTTTTTTTTTTGAGACCAAGTTTCCCTCTTGTTGCCCAGGCTGGAGTACAGTGGCACGATCTTGGCTCACTGCAACCTCTGCCTCTCAGGTTCAAGCAATTCTCCTGCCTCTACCTCCGAAGTAGCTGGGATTAGAGGCACCCACCACCATGCCTGACTAATTTTTGTATTTTCAGTAGAGACAGGGTTTCCCCATGTGGGCCAGGCAGGTCTAGAACTCCTGACCTCAGGTGGTCCACCTGCCTTGGCCTCCCAAAGTGCTGGGATTACAGGCGTGACCCACAGCGCCTGGCCATTTTAAGTTATTTTAGCCAAACAGTGAGGACTAGGTTAAGGAGATATTTCTCAAAACTTATGATGAGGCTTTCTGGAAAAATTAAAATTCTAAGTGTTCAATGTGATGTGAGTTTGAAACAGAATAACTTTGTAACACTTCAGACTTGCTGCAAACTGCATTTTTAGTTGGGTGATTTTGTATTTAATTGTGAATAATCAAATTATTTCATGGTATAAAAACTCCAACAGAAAAAAAAGACAACAAAAGGAAATTTTAATCCCTCCTTTTGGGCAGAATAATTATAATTACCTCCCAATTTGCTTCCTTCCATTCTTTTTTTTTCCCCCAGCTATTAGATCATCTTATGGTATACTGTAATTTCTTTTCCCTTTTCCATCACATCCAGTTCAGAAAAACTGTGTTTCTATCTTTAATTTTATTTTCATTGGTTTTTTTTTTTTTTTTTTGAGACAGAGTCTCACTCTTGTTGCCCAGACTAGAGTGCAGTGGGGCGATCTCAGCTCACTGCAACCTCCGCCTCCCAGGTTCAAGTGATTCTCCTGCCTCAGCCTCCCGAATAGCTGGGATTACAGGCACCTGCCACCATGCCCAGCTAATTTTTGTATTTTTAGTAGAGACGAGTCTATTTTGGCCATGCTAGTCTTGAACTCCTAACCTCAGGTGATCCACCTGCCTCTGCCTCCCAAAGTGCTGGGATTACAGGCATGAGCCACTGCATCCAGCCTAATTTTTATTTTTTAGCTACTTAGTCCTGCTTTATACCTCTCTCTGTCAGACATCACAGGAATAGTAGTACAATCCAAGACTCCTGAAATAAAAAATGTCCTTCTAAACTATTAAGACAAAACCTACCAGATGTGTCATAGTAAGTGTCATTCATTATGGTCACTCTTTAGCTAATATTTTCACGTTTTCACTTGAAATGTTCCAAGAAACCAAACAAACTTTAATTTGTAATTTACTGTTTCTTTTTTCCTTTGTTGTAGCTTGTGTACAGTGGGTATAGCAAAGAAACCCTAAGACAGCGAGAACTTCAACTAAGTGTGCTGAGTGCAGAATCTCTGCGGGAGAATTTTTTCTTGGGTGGAGTAACTCTGCCTTTGAAAGATTTCAACTTGAGCAAAGAGACAGTTAAATGGTATCAGCTGACTGCAGCAACGTACTTCTAAACTAGTGAATGTCTCAGCTTTGGAAGCAAGGACAGTTATAAACCTGCATGTGTACATGCACACACACACACATAGACACACACACACTTGTGAATTTTGTATAGTATTTTATACTTGGATGGAACTTACATAGTTAAATATACTTGCTGCATTTGAACACATCTGTTGGACCAACAGTCACATAACTAACCTTTTTGAACTTTTGGAAGCCATTGCTGTTTCAGTCATTATGCAGAATGCTATAAACCCTAAACTTAATATATACTAATTCCTGAAAAAGACTTTGAGACAGTACTATGTCAGTTCAGCCACCTATTTTGCATTGTTTTCTCTGAAGAGGCAGGGCATATGTGTTTTCCTGTTGTGCACCTTTTATAGCCTTTACCACTGTGTAATGTTCACAAACACCAAAGTAAAGGAAAGATGCAGGATGTTACCATAAAATGCAGCTGCTATTCACGGAGCTGAAAAACAAAGCACAAATAATAGACAGCTATGTTAAGAACTACTAAGTAGTTTATAGAAGTAGGTAAAAACATAACATTGCTTTTTATTCATGTCTTTAAAGCCTTTTTCAGAATAAGTGCCAATCACTGATGTTGTAAATAATGGTGCCTTAACTTTGTATGCTTCCCTGGCACTTCATTTCTGGTTTTTTTCCTGATTTGATAAATAATTAGTACATAATTTTCACTCACTTTCAGCTTACTAAAGACAAGAAATTATGTACACGTACTAATGTTTTTCCCACAGAAAATCATTTTCTCTAATTCTGATGTATGAAATAATTATTTAAATGGTCAAGCCATTTAAGTTTTTGTTGCCCAATACCTGAACAAGACTTATCAGTGTGATTGTACAACAAATTCCATCATTCCATTATAATCCTACATTTATTCCAGGAGTGGTAATTTCACCTCCCTACATCTATACTCCACTCCCTCAGTACACAAGTGAATAATTGTTCATCCATGTGCCCATTCCTGAGTAGGGCAGACTCTTCACAAGAAGCCCCTGACAGTTCTAGGGTCCAGATTAAACTTTAATATAGACCTTTTGTCTTTGTAGACTAGTTTGTCATGTAAACTGTCTTACTGACATGTGTAAACATTGTACATTCACATGAAAAGTTATTTTCCTTTATATAATGGGATTCAGAATCATAAGGGACAGGATTGAAATTATTCTACAGTAACCATTAAGAATAAGATTTGCCAGGCACAGGTGACTCACACCTGTAATCGCAGCACTTTGGGAGGCCAAGGCAGGCAGATCACCTGAGGTCAGGAGACTAGCCTGGCCAACATGGTGAAACCCTGTCTCTACCAAAAATACAAAAATTAGCTGGGCTTGGTGGCAGGCGCCTGTAATCCCAGCTACTTGGGAGGCTGAGGCAGGAGAATCGCTTGAACCTGGGAAGCAGAGGTTGCAGTGAGCTGAGATCATGCCACTGAACTCTAGCCTGGGTGACAAGAGTAAAACTCTGTCTCAAAAAAAAAAGAAAAACAATAAGATTCATTATTTTTATTAGTTATCAACTTTAGACACAATTTCGTTAGTTGGGATAAATATATATAAGAACTCTCATGGTTAGAATAGAAATTCAGATACTTTAAAAATGGCAGTAGAGATTGCACCAATCAGGTTGCTGTGAGAAAACTAACAAAATATGCAATAAAGAATATGAAGAGGGGCAGGACAATCGCCAATTCAGTTGCCCAGAACAGAATTTTTATGAATTGCACAAATGTTTAATGTAAATGGTGATACCTACGGAGAAGAAATAGAAGAGTTGATAATATATCAGTGGGATGGGGTGGGGGAAAAACTTGAAATTTTTGGTGCCTAACACTAATGGTCCATTTGTAGTTAAACCCATGAGTATGGTAGATGAATGTCTTTTTTTTTAATGTTAAAATGTGTTGTCTATTTAATAAGTTAATTAAAATGCAGATGAAAGCACCACCATTTGCTTTTTCCACAGATCGATAACATTTCCTTAAAGTATGTAAGTAGCTTTGCAAATGCAAATGTGCTAGTAATTTTCACATCAGCTTTTGAGACCTAATTCCATTCCACCAGTTGTCTTAGCCATTGTAATTTCAAAACAAACCAACAAACACTGTCTTAATAGAGGTCATTGTTAATTGGACTCAACATGTGCTGCCTTTTTGCAGTCTGTTATGGCAGTGTCTTTAGCACAAATAATAAGAGCTAAAAAATGTGCTGTCACTTCAATAAGAAATCTGGACTCATATCTAAAAGTGTGTATTATAATGCTGTACAGTTAAGAATTCAGAACAAGTGGTAATGTTTTAATTTAACTCATCTTGTGCCTTCTTTACTCATTCAAACACATACATTTTACATATGGTTTAATATAAATTATTTCTTTGTTAAATGCTAATCTTCAGCCCATACCAAAAAATAAAAATAAAAAGAGGAGAGTCTCTTTGCATTACTACTATCAATCAGTTTTAAATCAGTTGGATTTTTAAGCATTTTTTAAAAGCTCACATTAAAGTAAATCTGAAAAACGAAAGTTTAACAAACTGGCCAAGACACTGATTTTTATGTATAATCACAATCTTTTATACTTAACCTTTATTGACTAAATTATGCTACGTTAAGTCCTGCATCAGAAGAATTCTTTCTTCTTGCCATGTTTTGGGATTTGAAGATAACGGTTCACTCGAAGAACCTATTATTTTCTCTACTGAGGAACCCAATGTAGAACTTGCACTGATATTTTTATTACTGCCTTTATATGAATCTATAGGTATCTAAATGTTAAGGCAGGTATGATCTTTGATAATTTCTTTTTTCAAATTAAAGTTGTATAAAAGTTTCAATATCTTGCCTTAAAATTAGTTGCCTGTTCTTTCTAGGATTCAAATATTATGGCATTTAAAAAAGAAAACATTCACTTTTGAAACTTAGACTTCAGATCATAAAGGACTGAAACCCCACTATCATAATCCATAAATTTATTTCCATGTTGTTTGACTAGCAGTGCATATATGAATTAATATGGTAATTAACCTCATCTATAAGAACCAAATACTTTAATTATATTAAGGTAGTGAATAAAGATGTATAATATTTTTATTAATACCCTGAATATATTCAGTGGATTGAATGTGACTTCATAACTATACTACAATTGTATTAAAATATTTCTGGAATAAAAGAACTCTGCTATCATTTCTTTCCTTATTGACGTACTAACATTTTTGGTTCCAAACTTTGCTATGAGCTCATTCTTGATATTCTTTGCATCTCACCCAGGAGTTTATTAGGTTCAATTATCTTGAATTTCAGAACTAGCCTGTCAGTTGCCCCTAAAAATGTCCAAATAGAGACTCTGACTTCTTAGTGTTACTTTTTTTTTTTGAGACAGAGTCTCACTCTGTCTCCCATGCCTGGAGTGCAGGGGTGCTATTTTGGCTCACTGCAGCCTCCACCTCCCAGGTTCAAGCGATTCTCCTGCCTCAGCCTCCTGAGTAGCTGGGACTACAGGCATGCACCACCATGCTTGACTAATTTTGTATCTTTAGTAGAGATGGGGTTTTGCCATGCTGTCCAGGCTGGTCTCAAATGCCTGACCTCAAGCGATCTGCACCCCCTCAGCCTCCCAAAATGCTGGGCTACAGGTGGGAGCCACCCTGCCTGGCCTGAGTGTTACTCTTTGAAGGTCTGGATTGCTACCACTTTGCTATAGTCCCATCACTATTTTTCAGAAGGGAAATGCTTCTGTGAGTGTAGTCCCCTGGCCTTTGGTACTTAAGATATTAAGTAGTCCAGCAACACCTATGTTATAGACCTATCAACAGAACTGAGAAATTTGGATTCTTCTAATACAGTACCTTCCTCCTGTAATGATAACAGTGTGAAGCTATGGTTCTCTGACCCTAAGATAACATGTGAAAGGTCCCGGAGACCATGAAAGCAAGAACTGAATGATTTCACCCTTACTTTTTTGAAAAACTTCATTATGCAAATCTTAAGCATATACAAAATTAGACAATAGCATAATGAACTCCATGAGTGAATCCATCACGGAGCTTCGATAGTTACTATCTTAGGACTAACCTTGTTTGCTCTATATTAAGTTGTTCCTAGGTATAGGTATCTTAGCTAATTTATCCTATTTAAGATTCTTAAAACTGTGGATTAGAGCTGGGTGCAGTGGCTCATGCCTGCAATCCCAGCACTCTGGGAAGCCAAGGCAGGCAGATCACAAGGTCAGGAGTTCGAGACCAGCCTGGCCAATATGGTGAAACCC